ACTGCAGAAGATGCCGTCTGACAACGAGGGGAAAACGCCTCACAGCAGCTGTTTTCCATCCTATTAGATCACATTTCTTTAAATGATCAGTCCAGGAGATGCTGCTGATGGACAACAGTGTTTCTCGTGAGATCAGGCTGATTAAAACTATCTTTTCAAAACTGTCCAGATGTGACTGTTTACACGCATCAGCTGCTGACCGGAAGTTCTTCGCATTCTCCTTGCGCATACACGCAAAGCATCATGGGTAATTTTGCGTTCCAAGAAAAAGGTCTAAAGAGTTAAGATCGCTTTGCTAACAACTGTGCTAACCCTATTTTTAACATTTACTTAATTTGTTTAAAAACTCTTAATTGTTGTTACTTCATGCAAACTTTATAGCATGAAGCTTAAACCTGATCCTAAATGCACTCTCTGTCATGTAGGTGAAACTGGTGCGTTCTTTCACATGATTTGGGACTGTCCTGGGCTTGGTTATTTTTGGAATATGGTTTAAAAAAATTTGTATTCAATACTAAACGTTTCAGTCCCTCTCGCCCCCTCTATTTCGTCATAAATGATTTTTCTGATATCCAACTTAATGAAATTCAAAAGTGAGTGTTTTTAGCTGGCTTGACAGCAGCAGAGAAAATAGTTGCGACAAGATGGAAGCCTCCACATTCTCTTAATCATCATCATTGGATTTTTACTTTTATTGATATTGTGTATCTGGAAATGTTCACTGCTTGCATCTAGGCATGGCACGATAACCGTTTTCAAGGTATACCGCGGTTTGGAAAAGTCTAGGTTTTCTACATTTTCTGTAATAAGGTATGAGGTTTTTTTTCATAATTTTTTTGTTTGTGTTTTTAGGACAACAGTATCTTTAGCAGAAAAAATATCCAAAGATTCCGTTTTAAATTGTAAAGAAATCTGTGTTTTTGAAACTAATGAAGACTGCAGACGTCAATGATTCATTTGAATTATTTAGCCTGACCATGTTCACTGCTCCAAAATATTTGACATCTTTCAAAAACTAAAATATATTATGTTCAAAAGGGAAAAAGATTCAGTTTTTTACACAGACATTTAAAAAGAACTAATTTTAGAGCGGTAAGCACAATACTGTTATATTTTTATCCAAGGTTATCATACTGTCAGATTCTTATAACAGTCCATGCCTACTCGCATCCATGGTGCAAGAGAGGACGCCATCAGACTTTGGGCACAAACCTTGAACAAACGTACTAATTTGAATCAAGAAGACATCGAAAAGCAGAAATTTCTGGTTCCAGGCCCCATGATTTTATTTTATTTTTAAATTAATTAATTTTTTAATTAATCATCTAATTAATTAATTAATTTAAAAATAAAATAAAATTATGGGGCCTTGAACCAGAAGTTTTTTAAATTTATTTATTTTTAATTATATAACATTTAATTTATTTATTTTTCTTCTTTATTAATTTTATATTTTTTCCTCCTTTTTTTTTTTGTAATTTAAGGTTCCCTGTATGGGCTTCTAAAAATTTCTCTCCTTTGTCGTAGACCTCTTTCAGCACAGTTTTGAATACCTATTTCTGTTTGTCTATTACCATTCTTTTATTTATTTATTTTTAACTGGCTTAACTTTACCCTTACTTATCCCTAAATACAGATTTGGTTTATTGCCTTCTTTGATTTGAAAATTTGTTTTATGTATGTGTATTTATGTGTATATATATTAATTTATTAATTTTTTTTGTTTTAGTTTGTCCATGTATTTACTCTTCACTTCTTTCTATTTATTAACACTATTGTTGTTATTGCTGGCACTATTATTAATACTATTATTGAACAACTTATATATTGGTTATTACATATACAGTTAAAGTCAGAATTATTAGCCCCCTTTGAATTTTGTTTTCTTTTTTAAATATTTCTCCAATGTTGTTTAACAGAGCAAGGAAATTTCAACAGTATGTCTGATAATATTTTTTCTTCTGGAGAAAGTCTTATTTGCTTTATTTCAGCTAGAATAAAAGCAGTTTTTAATTTTTTAAACACCATTTTAAGGTCAATATTATTAGCCCCTTTAAGCTATTTTTTCCCGATAGTCTGCTGAGCAAACCATCATTATACAATAACTTGCCTAATTACCCTAACCTGCCTAGTTCACCTAATTAATCCTTTAAATCACTTTAAGCTGTGTATAGAAGTGTCTTGAAAAATATCTAGTAAAATATTATTTACGGTCATCATGACAAAGATAAAATAAATCATATATAATAGACGAGTTATTAACACTGTTATGTTTAGAAATGTGTTGAACAAATCTGTTCTCTGTTAAACAGAAATTGGGGAAAAGAATAAACCGGGGGGCTAATAATTCTGACTTCAACTATATATCTATGCAATTTGCTATGCTGATTGTCTACGGCATGTTTTTCTGTGTTCAAAATATATAACATAAAAGAACAATTTGATAGAAAAAAACCTCCTAATTGTGGCAAAAGAGGATTTAAAGTACAAAATATGACGTGCAAAAAAAATAAACAAAAGCAGCCGCTGTAATCTGAATACTGTTGCAGTGTGATATTCAAAGCAGTACTCTTTGATGAATGTTTAAACAGTGGTACGCTACATTAATCTTACAGCATTGCATGTTTAATTCAGCATCCAGTAAACATCTCCAAAATATGAAATATTAAAATATCAAATAGTTTGCGGTTTAATTCAGTACAAAATACAGAAATTCAGCAGATGTTGAAACAGTTAACTGAATCTAAACCCATAAAAAGTCCGAAGCAGAATCGATTTTCACGCACTAGAAATTTGTTTTTGGCTACAGAAGCTTCCAGTGTACATAAAGTGACAAGTGACGACTGTTACGGCTTTTAAGTTTTGTCTGTAGGGTTTAAAAGGTAACATTTAAGGTGATAATATTTTACTAAACTACTAAACTAATGTGTTTAGACAGTGGAGTTATTTGCGTGATGCAAAGTGTTTGTCACGTGACATCTAAGCTCCTCAAATTCAAAGGGAAGACTGACGCCGGACGTCAGGGGATTGCCACATATACACATCCAAGACGTTAACAGTGATCAACACAAGAACATATGGAAGGCCGTTGGGGCCAAAACATCTGCAACAAACGTGTAAACGCGTAATTGCGTGTTAACACGTAATTTACGCGTTAACACTTTAGTATGTGTTTACACGTCATTTACGCGTTAACACGCAATTTACGTGTTAACACGTTTTTTTTTTTAAACTAGTCTCATTTTTAAAGTGTTTTGGCCCCAATGGCCTTCCATAAGAACAAGACCAAAATCAAAACTAAGTTCACGTCAAAATCCCAGCACATCACAACAAGCCAAAAACACACACAAAAGCAAGCAAAGACCGCAAGCAAGACAGAGCAAAAGCAGAACGAGCTTCCCCGGCCCCGCTCACGTCCCTATTAAACTTTGAGCTCCTGTGCTGATTGGTTGTGAAGGTGATGACGTCACAAGGTGTAATTGAGATTGACGTCTTCACGGACGAATGGGATACTGGAATGGGCGAACCTGAGAATTGACAGAGAGAGGGAGGGAGCAAGCGAGCGAGCGAGAAAGGGGAAAGAGAGCGCACACACACAAGCAAAACAAACAGGCATATACATATGACTGTAACACAACACAAAATAAACATAAGACGATAAACATTAAACAGAGATGCAGTTAGACAAAAGAGCTCTGGAGGATGAATTGTATGTACAGATTTGTTATAAATAAACTAATTATAAAGTGCTGTGTACAATATGAGAATGTATTGCATTATATATTGTGATAAGGTGCTGTGTACACGTGCGTCTGACATGCAATAACTACTACTACAAATTAGACATGTTATTCACCTTTTTTTAGAACTGCCTTGATTGCATTTAATTAAAAATTCTAAATAATCGCAAATATTTCATATCAATTTTTTATATTGAATATTTCTGAGATGGTAAATGGATGCCACTCATTGAATTAAGTGCTATAAGATTAGCCCCTTTCACACAGTGATACCGGTAAATATCCGGAAAATTTCCGGAACGACTTTACCGGTATATTCAAAAAAGCGCTGTTCACACAGGCGAGGACGTTACGGAAATTTTCCGGAAAAGAGCATTCACACATCCATTCCAAAATACCGGTAAATTCTGACATCATTCACCACAAATGAGCTTTAAACGGCTGCGCTTGTGTTTGTAAACATTTGACTAAATTACAAACTCTGTGGATGATCAATATTGTGAACAACTTTCGCAGGATCACTTTCGCATGTCGAGATGTTCATAATATGTGTGTGTGCAGGCGCTAATAGGCGCACGCAAAGCTTGAAGGTAAACAAACAACGGCTTATCATAAACATCTCATCGATAATTATTTACACATTTGGCATTAAGAAGAACATATAAACGTGATCTGACTAACTTCTAGCAGCTAAATGTGTCTGGAGAAATATTCAAAGGCTTTTATTCTCACAAACCGCGCGGATGTAAATGTGTCTGACTGTTGTGATTGGCTAAAGCAGACGTCTCACGTCAGCACGTTCTAGACGTGCACGCGCTTATTACGGCAATCTTCCTTCTGCATTCACACAGCGCAGCATTCCGGCAAATTGCCGGTAATGTTACAACTTCTCTTTCCGGAAAATAGCCAGAACGAATTTACCGGTATTTTCAAAAATTGCCGGCAATTTTCCGGAAAGGTCTGTATGTGTGAAAGGGGCTATTATTTCAGCAATCTAGCATTATTGTAGCTGTTTTCATGCAGTGTTATATCATTGTTTTAGCAATTTTAACTTTACTGAACTTATTCATTCATTAAATATACATTTACACACAATTACACAAGTAAACAAATGGAGTCAATGATGGACTAAAAATCTGTGGATTTCTGCGAGCGCAGATTCCGTGTGGGCCTAACGATGACTAATGAAATGTTTGCAATGAGAAACAGAATCTGCAGAGTATCCTGGCTGAATCAGGGCTGTGTTTGTGTGTTCTGCAGGTCTGGATAACTGGTTAAATCTGACTCGCGTGGATCCTGATGAGGAGGTTCAGGGTGAGATTCATTTGGCTCTGGAGCTGCAGAGAGAAAAGCACAGATCCTGCCTGAGCTGCCACATCATCGAGGCTCGGTGAGGACATGCTGATCTGATCATTCATTTTCCTTCGATTTAGTCCCTTATTTATCAGGGGTCGCCACAGCGGAATGAACCACCAACTATTCCAGCATAAGTTTTACATAGCGATTGTCCTTCCAGCTGCAACCCAGTACTGGGAAACACCCATACACACTCATTCACACACACTCATACACTACAGCAAATTTAGTTCATCGGTTCCCCTTTAGAGCAAGTGTTTGGACTGTGGGGGAAACCGAAGCACCTGGAGGAAAACCATGGTAACAAGGGGAGAACATGCAAACTCAACACAGAAACGCCAACTGAGCCAGCCGGGACTCGAACCCGTGACCTTCTTGCTGTGAGGTGACTGTGCTAACCACTAAACCACCATACCACCCCTTCATAATAATAATAATAATAATATTTATGGAGAATTTGTGAAGACACACTGCTCTGCTCATTTAATAATAATAATAATAATAATAATAATAATCATTATCATAATGATAATAAAATATTTATGAAGGCTCGGTTTAGTGAGAACACACGGATCTGCTTCTGCTCACTTAATAATATAATAATAATATTAATAATATTCATCGAGGCTTTGAGGACACACTGCTCCCCTTCTGGTCCTTTAATCATAATAGAAGTAATAATGATAATAATTGGGCGGCACGGTGGCTTAGTAATTGGTGGTTCATTCCACTGTGGCGACCCCTGATTAATGGGGTTAAGCCGAAGGAAAATAAATGAATTAATGAATAGTAATACTCATCATAAAGGGATCACATGTTCACATATGCCAAACGAACCGCGCTAACTGGGCAAACGAGATACGTTCCGAAACAAAAGTGTAGGTGTGAAAGCATCCCTAAAGTTCTCTGTAGTTGTCTTGACAACACACACACTCTCTGGGATGAGCTGCGTGCAAGAAACTTGCGGCTTTTAGTAAACCATTCAAAAGATGCCGCTCTAAACGCAAAAAAGTGCATTCGATCGGCCCCTTATGCAGCCAAACTAAAAATATATAAAATAATATACCAATTTAACTGATACCATTAATCGGTTACAAACGCACCATTACGGTTAATGGTTAATCGATTATTTTGAGCATCCCTAATTTGTATGTTTGAATTTGACAGTACTGCAAACACTCAGATTGTGTTGTGTGTGTGTGTGTGTGTGTGTGTGTGTGATGTGTGTTTGTTTTTGCTACAGTGATTTGGCTCCGCGTGATATCACCGGCACGTCTGATCCCTTCACCAGAATCATCTACAACAACCTCAGCGCTGAGACATCGGTGAGATTATCTTCATCCAGATGCTGAACACAGGAAAAAAAAAAAAACATATTTAATGCATCAGCAAAGTGTTCTGTACATCTTTAATAACACAAATCTTCTGAATTAGCCGATCTGTTCATATGAGGAACAGACAGAAAACTAAGTCACTATTCGCTAGAATAATAGAGTTCTGGGATGCACCAAAATGTAAATTATGGACTGAAATTTAAAATTCTGGTTGCTCTTGACCGAAAACTGATTTTTAAATATAATTAATTATGTAATATTATATATATATATATATATTATTTAAAATTATAACTAATTAAATATTATAGAGTCATTTTGTAAGTGTTTTTTTATTTAACACCAATAGCTGTAAACATAAAGATATTTGACCCAAAATTAAATTAGAATGTTGAGGAAATCAATCAATTTAATTCATTTTGGAATAAGACTGTAACATAAGCAAATGTGGAAAAAGTGAAGCGCTATCAATACTTTCCAGATGCACTGTATGTCCTTATTTACTCATTCTTTACTTGTTTCACACCCCTATAAGTTGACACATAAAAAGATACTTTTAAGGCCGTGTTTACACTAGTATGTTTTAGTTTTAAAAGGGCGTTTTAGAATGAAAACGATCCGCGTCCACACTAGCGTTTCCGAACAGCTCTCCGTCTATCCCAGGGGTCACCAAACTTGTTCCTGCAGATTTTAGCTCCAACCCTAATCAAACACACCTGAACAAGCTAATCAAGGTCTTACTAGGTGTACTTGAAACACCCAGGCAGGTGTGTTAAGGCAAGTTGGAGCTAAACACTGGAGGGACACCGGCCCTCCCGGACCGAGATTGGTGACCGCTGGTCTATCCCAAAACGCTGATAACGCACATCACATGACCACACACACACACTCTCTGGCAAGCGCTGCAGCCTATCTACCCAGATGAGAGCTGTGCTAGTCGGAGTGTTCATCAAGCATCTCCCGCTGGATCTAATCTCACTATATTTGCTAAAGGTGATATTTAATTAATCTTGTTGTCTATATCTAACAACATATTCCCCGACTTTGGTCTTTTGAATCTATTAGGCTACTTGTTCTCGGGTAACGTTCGTGTTTTGGCTGATCGCAGAGATAAATGCAACCCAGGCTCATTGTGGAAACGTAGCCCTGCGGACGTTTCTGCGGACTGCGACTTACGTCCCGGGAGGTACGTATTGGAGCGTTTTTTTGTTTTCGCGGATCCGCAAAAGGCCGCCGTTCTCGCGCGAAAAGCCGCCGGATCGAAAAAAAAAAAAAAAAAAAAAAAAGCAAAAGCCCTCGTCTTCGATTTCGACCGCGTTTTCGGATCCCGCTGCGTTCTCGCCCTTATTTTCCTGATTCCGTTTTTCGTCTTACCTGATTTCCGGAACCCGCTGTTCCCCGAACTTGATCCCGGTCGTCATCCACCGCGGCCGGCTCCGGCTCCTCCTCCTCCGGGGCCTCCGCTCAGAGGCGAGCCGTCGGCCGGCGAGCGCGAAGAGGCCCGCCCGAGCGCACATCAGCGCGCACAGCAGCCTCTCGCGGATCCGCGAAAACAAAAAAAACGCTCGAATACGTACCTCCCGGGACGTAAATCGCGGTCCGCAGAAACATCCGCAGGGCTACGTTTCCACAATGAGCCCGGGTTGGATATTCAGCATAAGAGAGGGTATGTTTCGTATTTTCACTGAAATTTAAAGGAGGCAGTTGTTATAGGCTCCGTTTTGTTATAAATATCCACACAGTGAAGATGACGCTCATATATGCAGCACAACGCCTCAACATTTCTGTTGCCTCACTCAATGCCTGCTCAATTGTAAGTCTCTTCGGACAGAAGCATCTGCTAAATGACTAAATGTCAGCATCGTGACTTGAGAACATGAGTGTGTGTATGTCAGATCATAAAGAAGACACGGTTCCCTCACTGGGACGAGACTCTGGAGCTCTGTCTGGATGAAGCTGATGAAGATGAGGGAGGAATGGTCACGGTGGAGGTCTGGGACTGGGACATGGTGGGGAAGAACGACTTTTTGGGGAAGGTGAGCGCACAGTTTCACCTGTCTGACATTACATGAGTAATAAATGAGTAATGCAAAACAATAACCTGCATTTGGGTGTGCATTATTTTCTGATAATTCAGTAGTCCTGAGAGCATTATTCCACTTATACTACAGTTACCTAGACTAAACCAGAGAACTGGTCAGCATCTCAAATTTTAGTGGTTCTGAAAGACCATCCTCTTCAGAACCAAATTATAAACATGTGATTTTACTGTATTGCTGGTAACTTTGAATGTTAAATTGCTCCTTAAATGATCATGCACTCACCCTCAGTGCTGGATGATGCTCTTGATTCTGTGGGAACACAAGCAGAAGTTTAGAGTGAGTCAATGACGGGGACTGATGTGTGTGTGTGTGTGTGTGTGTGTGTGCAGGTGGAGATTCCTCTGTCGTGTCTGCTCAGATCTCCTGTCCTGCAGGGCTGGTTTCGGCTGATGCCACTGGGAAACACAGAGGACAATGCCGGGTGTGTATGTGCATGTGTTATACAGCGCATACACATTCATTAACAGTGTGTGTTTACAGCATAGTCCCATTTATTGCCTATGTGTGTGTTATACAGTGCACATTCATTCATCTGCGTGTGTCATATAGCGCCTTCACATTCATTTACTGTGTGTGTGTGTGTTTCAGAGGTAAACTGGGTGCTCTGCGTCTGAAGGTGCGTTTGGTGGAGGAGAGGATTCTTCCATCAGTTTATTATCAGCCTCTGATGGATCTGCTGGTGGAGGCCGTCATTTCTCCATCTGAGGTACTATAAATATAAATGTATATGAGCAATATCACATGAGTAGCAGTGCGATATGGCTGTATATCGGCTCTGGTGGGAGGCGTGCATTGGCCTTAGTGTCCCACCAGTGATGATATATACAACCATAACAAGGAGAGTCCAAAAACCCTTTTGCATTAGGAACTACTTTCTTCCGCCATTCATTTACATCTGCAGCAGAAGCTGTGGCTAATTCACCAACGTCACTTTAGAGCCAATGTTTGAATGATTCTCTAGCGTAATGTCTAAAGTGATGACAAAGCAGCTGATTTTGCTGACATTTTGAGATTATAAGGCTGAACGTGACATGAAATGCCATCAGTCTACAGAGATATATCCCTACAGTGTTACAGTCTATTGCAGTCTATTAACCCCGAAAAAAGCAGCACAATCATTTCTAGATTGCTGTTGTGTCGAAGCAAAAACAAGGCAAAAACGCTAAACACATGCGGGCATTTCTTCTTTCTTTCTGCCAACAAAACACACATTCCTGATGAGTCCCACACTCAATACACTACAATTTTATGGTATAAATACAGCACTACAGCATACAAAAGAGAGAGAGATCGGCTTAGAAAGTCAATAACCTGTATGACAATGATTTGATCAGCTGTAGTTAGAAATTACGCTGTTTTAATCTTCTAAGCGCTTATTATGCAGTCCTGACGACATCTTGTGGATAGCCAACATCATTGCTCTGTTCAAGGACAGGCCAATGGCCTCTCAGAAATTATTAATATTTTAAAATAGGCACTATCCTTATTAATAAACTGCATAGTTGCAATCTAAACAACTACATTGTCCACTAAAAAAAGCCTCAGAAGTGCATTGTGTTGGCCAACAGCAGTACTATTTGTCGAACTGTAGAGTGTCCTCTGCTTGTTGCTGTATGTGGGCGGAGTAATACAAAAGGGTGAAGAGGCTGGACGAGTGCTGTTACTGGCAGAATATCACACGGCTTTCAGCCAATCAGATTCAAGATCCAGACAGAACTGTTGTGTTAAAATAAATATGAAACACAGGTGTTTCAGATCCTAAAAAGCAATACTGAAATAAGGTTGATGCCAGTCTGAACACATTTATAGTTTGTTCTGGTGCTTCAGCATTCAATACAGAGACCTGTAATGAAGCGCTGAGGAACATTTAGCCACTCTGATGGCACTTCTGTCAAATTTAGCTCCAGATCAACTAATCACTTCCTCTATGAATTGAAGAAGTAGATGAATGTGTAATCTGTGGGTTTAACTGCTAAATTAAACTGCTGTTAGCGAATGTTCTCAAACACAAAATGCCGTTTCCTTTAATGAATGTTTACATGTCATTTAAGCATTCATTTATTTGTTTTACTTCACACACACACAGCACACCAAATGCTATAAAATAATTAACATTATTAATTCAAGTCGAATCTGAAATTCAATTACTTTCAAGAAGCGTGGGAACCAGGACTTATCTATCCCCCTCCTCAACCGCCGTCCTCCCCGGTCCGCTGTTCACTTTGACTTTCTTCCGCGACTCCCCAACTCTCTTCACTTCTGTCTGCAACAACCCCCCGCTCTTCACTTCCGTCCTTCGTCCGCAACACCCCTCCGCCATCCAACGCAGGAGGGCATTGTTCAGAAGGAACAATGCGGTTTTCATTCATGCCGTGGTACACTGGACCAGCTCTATACCCTCACCAGGGTGCTTGAGGGTTCATGGGAGTATGCCCAACCAGTCCACATGTGTTTAATGGACTTGGAGAAGTCATTCGACCCTGTCCCTCGTGGCATTCTGTGGAAGGTGCTCTGGGAGTATTGGGTCAGGGGCGCTCTGTTAGGGGCTGTCTCGTCCCTGTATGAACAGAGTATGAGTTTGTTTGCATTGCCGGCAATAAGTCAGACTTGTTTTCAGTTCATGTTGGACTCGGGCAGGGCTGCCCTTTGTCTTCAATTCTGTTCATAATTTTTATGGAAAGAATTTCAAAGTGCAGCCTTGAGCTGGAGGGGGTCCGGTTTGGGGACCACAGGATTTCATCTCTGTTCTCCGCAGACGATGTTGTTCTGTTGGCTTTATTGAACATGGACCTTCAGCATGCACTGGGGCAGTTTGCTGCCGAGTGTGATGCGGCTGGGATGAGATTCAGCACCTCCAAGTCCGAGGCCATGGTGCTCCACCGGAAAAATGTGGTTTGTCTTCTCCAGGTTGGAGGAAAGTCCTTACCTCAGGTGGAGGAGTTCAAGTATCTCGGGGTTTTGTTCATGAGTGAGGAAAGGATGGAACGTGAGATTGACAGGGGGATTGGTGCAGCGGCAGCAGTAATGCGTTGATTGTTGGTCTGTTGTGGTAAAGAAGGAGCTGAGCCGAAAGGCAAAGCTCTCGATTTACCGGTCAGTCTACCTTCCTACTGTCACCTATGCTCATGAGCTTTGGGTCATGACCAAAAAGACAAGATCTTGGATACAAGCGCCAGAACACGCTATAAGTTTGCCAATGAACATTCAAAATTTTCCTCAGTGTTGGCCAATCAGGAAGGAGAAAACAGCATGCACGCTGACATCATGAGGTGAAAACTCGGGTTTTAGTGTCCACACGACCTCACTGTACAAGGAGATTTAGAAAATCTTAACCCTGGTGTGAGGTTTTAGAAAGTTTCAGTCACCCAATAATTTTTTTTTTCTTTTCAGCTTAGTGCCATTATTAAACAGGGGTCACCACAGCAGAATGAACCGCCAACTTATCCAGCATATGCTTTACACAGCAAATACTCTTCCAGCTGCAACCCAGTACTGGGAAACACCCATACATGCTCATAAACACACACAGTCACACATTACAGCCAATTCAGTTCACTAATTTCCCTATAGCGCATGTGTTTGCCTTGGACTGTGGGGGAAACCGGAGCACCCGGAGGAAACCCACGCCAACACGGGGAGAACATGCAAACTTCACATAGAAATGACAACTGGTCTAGCTGGGACTCAAACCAGCGACCTTCTTGCTGTGAGGCCACAGTGCTAACAACTGAGCCACTCTGCCACTCCTGATAAAATACAATTAATTGTTAAATTAAGAAATAATATTAACAATTCTCGTTAACTTCCGGCCACAGCTGTATCCCTTCTAGCAACAATGCCCTGAGTCGTGGCTGGGTGCTGCAGCGACTTGCAGCGCCGGTGTGTGTACCCTGATAGAAACCTATGTTTAGAAGTCTGAAATGCATGGCGCTATGTTGCGATTGGTGTTTCTGGTGTGTGACCCCCTTAAGTGCGCTTTGTGTATTGTGTGTGTGTGTTGTCAGGTGGACGAGGCGACAACGCTGACACTGTTGGAGGAAGTGACGACGGTGGACAGCCGGCAGGACGTTGCTATGACGCTGGTCAAACTGTATCTGGGTCAGGGGCTGGTGGTGCCGTTTCTGGACTACCTGAACACCAGAGAGGTCCACAGCACCAGTAAGTCTGTGTGTGTGTGTGTGCATGTGTTTTTGTGACATGTAAGGACATAAATGTGTATTATGACATGGGTATGACCAAAAGACTATAGATGAACAAAGACTTCTCTCGCAGAACCATAAATGGGGAAAAGTGCAACACTCAGTATGGCCACTACAGCAAAGGTAGTCCCACCTTTCAGGGCTTACTCACACTATGTACAGATGCCTTAAATTGGGCCAAAGCACGCTTATGCCCCCCGAAGGCCCGGACTCACATCACATTCGGGCCTGAGCATGGCTATGTCATCGATGATGCACTGTTTAGTTTAAGAAGTGCTCTCTTTATAGCGTTTTAGTGGTTCGGGATGCGGTAATACGCAGTCAATTATTTCACCAAACAGATCCGCCACTTTTGACACTCATAAGCAATCATAAAGTCCTCGTGCAGAAGGAATTAGGAGGTTTGCCGAAGGTGTAGGTGCGTCTTAAATAAACTACGCCAGTTTGTGTTCATTGAACAGTAAGAATGATTAATGAATCCATAGGAAACAGTCCCTTAAAAGTCACGTCTTGTCTTCAGTTTCGGAGCCCAAGTCAACCGAGATCTGGTACACCTCTTCCAACCGGGCCAGGGCCGACCAATGGAACCGTGCCTGAGCCGATTCAGAGCACTCACACTTCTCAAACTATCCAGGCCTGGGCATGGTTCGAATAGCATAGTGTGAGTACGCCCTTAGTGGAAATAGCCAATCATCACTCTTAAAGGTCCCATAAAATTGAGTGAAGTTTATTTATAAACTAATTTCAAGAGGATCACGTGCTTATGATTGACCACAGCCGGTCCTGCATTATTCAATTTATGATTCACCAATCAGACGATTCCTAAGCCACTATAAATACCCTCAGTTCCATATAACAGCCATCTTCGTTTTTAAGAATCCCCCCTTCCACCCCTACTTCTCCTCCTTTCCTTGACGGGTGGCACGGTGGTCCAGTGGTTAGCACTGTTGCGTCACAGCAAGAACGTCATTGGTTTTAGTCCTTACCAAGCCAGCCAACGTTTCTGTGGAAGTTTACACGTTCTCCCTGTGCTCAAGTGGGTTTCCCCTGGGTTCCCTGGTTTCCTCCTACCATCCAAAAACATGCAACTTAAGTTAATTGACTAATCCAAATCGACACCATAGATTTGCTCCAAGTAAGTTTCTCTTAAGAGCGATCACTGTCTGTTCATTAGCTACTACAGCAGGGGAGTTCTCCAGATCTACCTGAGCTCAAACTCCCCTCTCGTCTTGCAAACGAGAGGGAGCCCCGGGCTCGAGGATCTTATGAGCTCAAGGACAAGGCTTGCACCGTGGCTCACGCCGATCACTTGATGCAGAAGTATAAACCAGGCTTAACACTTGCGGTGTGAAACAGGCTTTAAACCGAGTTTATACTTCTGCGTCAAGCACACGCATATGCTACGGCACAGCCTATGCGCGGACGCATAGCCTGTCGCTGACATGCACCTCTCAAAAAATTTAACTACACATAGCAATAATCTGTGCGCAAGCTCTGTGATTGGTTGGCTTAGAAGCGCTGACGAATGTGGGCGGGACCGAGAGCCGCATGAGTCCGTTGGAGCTACTGTTTACAAGTGTGGAGTCCCGTGAAGGAGCTCCAGATGAAAAGTTTTGATTTGTGTTTACCTCATGGTTAAAGTTGTTGCACGTCCGCCGGTTCCTGCCTCAAAATGAGCAAGTTTGAGCCACTTGTACATTTAGGAGGCGTTCAGAAAAAACACCAGCGACGAAACTCCAGGAACACCAGGAACATAAACCCCTACTGCCATCTAGCGTTTCAGAAGTGCAACAGAAACAGCGCGCAGAAGTATGAATGCACAGCTATATGCGTTGCATGCGCCGTCACTTGACGCAGAAGTATAAACCAGGCTGTATGCAGCCAAACTCTAAAAATATATAAAATAATTTTTTTAATTGTTCAACTGATACCATTAATCAGTTACAAATGCACCTTTTCGGTTAGCGGCTAATCGGTTATTTTGACCATCCCTAGTCCATATGTCTGAAATATTCTGAAACAGCACTACTGCTTTGTACTGTCGTCATTGACCTTATTCTGTGATGCGGAAGTGCGCTCGTTTTGCGATTGTTTTAGTACTAAGACCTATAAATCATACAGAATGTTTTTTAGAAAGTAAAACTATACACAGTTTCCTGTGAGAGGTAGGGTTACTCTAGGACAAGTGAAAACAGTTTTTAACAGAATAAAACAGCGCCGGACTCATTTTCAGCCCTGGAGTTTCAAGCTAGACAGGCCCACCTCAGTTCACGACTGATTCCAATTCAGTTTCTAATTTCACCATCACGTCTTTTTCAAGAAAACAGCTGCTTTAGAAAGTCAAATGTTCAACAACCCTAACAGTATTATATGTCTTTACAATAAAAATGAAAAAATAATTAATAATAATGTTACAGGTGAGATTCGAACACGGGTTCGCAGCGTTGAAACGCAACGTGCTTGCCACTGGACCACAATGGCGCTATAGTTGTGGCAATTAAAAATAAGTAATGACTTGTGAGCCGTAAGACACAGCACTGCTTTCTTTTGATGGCTCAATCTTTTTCTCCCCTTTTAATATTTCTGATCAAGTTATGTCAGATTTATTAATGTAGTGAATCATTTGATTTTCATTGAGCAGGTGTATTATTCATTAATATCAATTATTCGAATTCTTATATTCACTAAGGTGCCGCTGTTTGGGGTCGATAGTTACATTACTTCATCATCATTAACGTTAGTTAACCTGCAGGCTGCCTTTCGCTCACAGGGCTGCGAGAAAATAAAGAAAAAGAGGGGTGATGCGGCAAAATAATAAATAAAAAGAGTAAAGCCAACACAATCTCACAGCAATTCGTAACTTTTTCATTTAGTGGCTAATTCGTATGAATTCGTACGATCTAATTCGTACAATTTAGTACGATTTGCTCATCCCCCAATGACGGTTGGGGTTAGGGGTGGGGTCAGGTGCCACGCCTCCTTTTTAAAATCGTACCATTTCGTACGAATTACCCACTAAACTGGCAAAACGTAAAATACTTACGTTTTCTCGTGAGATCAGGCTGGTAAAGCTATGGTCAAATAAATAAATAGATGAAAAAAGTGTGACTGCTGAAAGAGTGCAAGCAGATAGGGACACCGGCCCTCACGGCCAAAAATCAGACCGGCCCACTGGGAATTCTCCCGGTCCTCCCGATTAGCCAATCCGGGCCTGGATTAAAACCAATGGAATCCTATTGAATGTCCAGAAAATTCACCAAAATAAACCTGTGTGTGTGTGTAGACAGTGGTTTTCCGGTGTGTGGGCACCGCGACGGCTATATTTACCCACAGTTCCCCTCGCTGCTGAACTTCTCCTCTCTCATCATGATGTTGTGTGTGGGTTTTTCACACTCGCTGGTGTTTTATGTGGCGCTGATGACAAACACTGAGCCCACGTCTCCATAGCGACTCCACAGGAAGCGGCTTCAAAAGGAAGCGGAGCGATCATAAGATGGGAATGTTCGGCAGCGAGCGGCGGAGATCTGGAGGAACAGAGAATGATCAAGCAAAGTTATGAACTCAAACAGATCTAGCTCAAGCTGAGTCTGTATCAGCCGCCTGATACATGTTTTATGCATCGCATGCCCTTCCAGGTGCAACCCAGTAGTGGGAAACACCCATGCACGCTCATTCACTACGGCCAATTTAGTTCATCAGTTACCCTATAGTCAGGCCCGGATTAAGAACTCAGGGGCCCCTGGGCACATTGTCTTGTAAGCCCCCCTACCTGGCCGCACCCCTATAGTTGAATTTAAAAAATAAGAATAATATAATAATTTTTAAATAAAATGAATCTATAATTTGTTGCCCACATATTAAAATAAATGATATATAGTACATATGTATTTACAGTCTTCAAAGATTTAACTTATTTTTCAAAGCATTAAATAAAAATACTAATAAAAAAAATAAATAAATAAATAAATATATATATATATTTTTTTTAAGGGTATTTTAATGTATTGCTTTTACAAACTTATAAAGCATATTATTGCCATGGCATATAACACACAATGCTTCTCCAATCCAGTTCTATGAATCTGAGGCCCCGTCTACACTAATGCGTTTTAGTTTGAAAAGGCATAAGTTTTGCTACGGTTACGCCAACCGTCCACACTACGCCGGAGTTCTCGAGCGCCGAAAACGGAGCTTTTTGAAAACGCTGGAGAGGCCGTTTTCATTCTGAAACGCTGCTGCTCTGTCTCAGTGTGGATGGGGAAAGACGGAGACATTTGAAAACGGAGGCGGGGCTGCAAACGTTCGCCTATCTGATTGGGGCTTTTCCTCAATATTAAGTAGCCCACACACAGTTCAGTCTCGCATCCTCTTCTTGTAAGTTAAGACTTCGCAAGTTTGATCAATTGCAGTCTCCCCCTTCTCAGTTTGATATGGAAAACATACAGAGGACACGGGTAAATCTTCAAAGGGAACAGTGTACTTTATAACTTCATTCACATCACCCTGGCTAAGTTGTTTCACTTTCTCAACAATAAAATGTAAACATGATTTAAGGAACTGCCTATTTTCATTTTAATATTAACAACTTAACAGACAGCAGACATGTTGAGGCGTCGTGCTGCATATATGAGCGTCATCTTCACTGTGTGGATATTTATAACAAAACGGAGCCGATAACAACTGCCTCCTTTCAATTTCAGTGAAAATACGAAACGCACCCTCTCTTTTGCTGAATATCAGTTTTATTAATCGATAATTATAAAAGTATAATATACAATAAGTGTATACATTGTAGGAAATAAAAGCAAGCGATCAGTCAATGTACCTGGATTAATCATTAACTTATCTTTGCGCTTAACCAAAACATGTTACCCGTGAACAAGTAACTTAATAGATTCCAATGACCAAAGTCAGGGAATTGGCCTATGCCGTTAGATAAAGACAACAACATGAATGAAATATCACGTTTAGCAAATATAGTGAGATTAGATCCAGCGGGAGATGCTTGATGAGCAGTCCGACAAGCAGAGCTCTCATCTGGGTAGAAATGCTGGAGCGCTTGCCCGAGAGTGTGTGTGTGGTCACGTGATGTGCGTTTTCAGCGTTTTGGTGTGGACGGAGAGCAGTTCAGAAACGCTGGGTAAAACGCTAGTGTGGACGCGGATCGTTTTCATTCTACAACGCCGTTTTAAAACTAAAACGCACTAGTGTAAACGGGGCCTTAGTCTTTTATAATACAAACACTGATTTACTGTCTCTCTCCTCCTCTCCCTGTATTTTCTCTACTCTTCTCGTGATGAAGACTTGATTATAAACCTAAAAGTATCCGAAATCACACACACTATACCTCTTCTCTCCCGTCTCTCTCCTCTTCAGGGCTTTACTCTCTCTCCCTCTCTCTCTCCTTTTCTGTCTGTCTCTCACACGATGAATCCAGTCCGCGCTGCGCTGCCGTTAGCCTCCTCCGCCTGGTTAATGCTAGCTTCTCATCATTTAAAGTTACCATAACGTCGTCTTCTGTACCCTGATTCTCCTGATCATGGGTCTGTTTAAAGAAGGTGTGTATGGAAAATGCCTCAATAAAGATGCCTCCTCTCCTCTTTCTCTCGCGTTTGCTAAATCCACTAGTCCACTCATTTTTGATCTATGACAGATATAACGTTACACTAAAGTCCGCTCAGTTTAGTGCGGGTTATTACAAAACTGACGTTTCCGCGCTTGACCAATTACAGCATTTTGTTTAGTTAACGAAAAAAAGGCAGTTTAAATATAATAATCATATTAATATGTGATCGCGATTTTTTTGCTCAGAGGAAATACAGTTGTCTGAGCAATATAGTTTTTGCAGAGAGGGAGGCACCTATAAGGCTAAACATTATTAAATACCCACGAGACACTTGTGACTTTATATCACATTTGCATTATTTATTAAAAATGTTTCCTTCCTGTTAAAAATAAATATATTTCCAATCTGATATGTAACGGGAGAAAAAAAAAGTAGCAGGAGTTCAGCTGATGGTGGATTCGAACCGAGTTTAGGATTAATCGCGTCAAAAGATGAAACTGTGCGCCTTACAAGGTGCGCCACTGCGGCTGTACTGATTAACAGCTCTTTACTCATCTTGTCTCTATCAATCAGGCATCAATGGGCGTAAACCCTGAATAGCTTATTCCAACTAGATGCGCTATTTGCAATTAGCCAAAAAAGACACTCCGAAATTGTCTTTTTTTCTCCCCCCTCGCAGGGGCCCCTAGTGCGCACGGGCCCCTGGGCCTGTGCCCATAAGGCCCATTGGTTAATCCGGCCCTGCCTATAGTGAATGTGTTTGGACTGTGAGGGAAACCGGAGCACCCGGAGGAAACACACGCCATCATGGGGAGAACATGCAAACTCAGAAATGCCAACCGGCCCAGCACGGACTCGAACCAGTGACCTTCTTGCTGTGAGGCGACAGTGATAATCACTGAGCCACTGAGATTAAAATGATTAGACCAGTGGGTTGATGAATATAAAGCAAGTCAGAAACATTTGTACATGAATAAACACAAGCAAAGCTTTTTCTGTATCTCCCAACAGCAGATCCAAACACACTCTTCCGCTCAAACTCACTGGCATCCAAAGCCATGGAGCAGTTCATGAAGGTACAGTATATGTGTGTGTGTGTGTGGAATACAGGTATGTGTTTGGTATACAGACGTGTGTGTGGTATATGTAAATGTGATTGTGTTTGTGTCTGTGTGTGTGTGTGTGTTTTTGTTTGTTGTGTGGTATATGTGCGTCTGTTATACGTGTGTGGGTATACATGCATGTGTGTGTTTGCGCTTTTGTGTGTGGCGTGTCTAAGTGTTTTGGTATATGTGTGTCTGTTATATGTGTGTGGTATGTATGTGTTCTTGTGTGTAGTATTTGTGTGTCTGTTATATGTGTGTGGTATACGGGTGTTTGTGTGT